ATGTAAGGTATGTTGTTGCGAATATCGCTGTACCTGGGCACTATTTTCTGATCAATTTCAAACCTTGCTGTGTGTAAAACTGAGGTGGGCGTACTTCACGGACAATGGCAATGGCAGTCATAAGGTCCCATACTGGGAGTGATGCATATTACAAATATTCCCTAATTCTTATCCTATCCGTGACAACATGCGTATTTATACCATGATATTTAAAGCCAAGTGTTGTGTGAAAGGCACGCACACCAGAAGGAAGTGGCCCAAGTGTAGAGGTCTCGTCATTACAGGCTCTTGTCATCCTGTGATATGATTATGTATCATCTTGCCTCTTGTACACCTCCCCTGCCCCCCCACCCCCCTTCCCGGCCTGCATCCTTGTGATAACCCTACTTGACCTCAGCAACATTGTTGAACATGACAAGTCCCTCACCAGCAATGACACAAGGCCTTCAATACTGGTGTACTGCCTTTGACAATACCTCTCTGTGAGTACAGTGGACAATACCTCTATATGTAAGTAAGTAAGCCATTACTAGTGTACATATGCAGTTAATGAAGTCTGTTGAAGGTTTACATATCAGAAATAGCTTGACCTTTGTAAGTCATGTTCAGCCTATGTAGTGTTCATGCTGAACACTAGAGCAGTTGTAATATTGTAGTTTGTGTGAGTGTGTGAGTGATATCCCTACATGTATCATTATTCATTATTTAAGGATTGAAGTTTTTACATTCATTAGCTGATGAAGACAGTGGCCCACGCCAGCACTTTCAAAGCGCTTCATGCCCTAATAAGTCAGTTGAAGTTATCCTCGTGAATGACCTGATTTCTTTGTGATGTTCTCACCGTCACAAACCATTAAAACCATTACCTGATATAGCTGGAGGGGGGGGGGGGGGATGGAGGAGTATTTTCAATGAGACAAATATGAGGATCATACTGGGATGAAAGTCCAAGGTTAATGTTCAATGCAGTGTTACAATAGTAACTGTTTAGTACTTTTCAATCATATTAGTTTAGTTTCATATTAATTTCCATTGGGGGGGGGGGGGGTTGATTGAAAATTAAAATATCTGTCATTTGAATTAAAGTTTGAATATGGGTTGTTCAGTAGCCAGTCATTTGAGTGAAAGAGAAATGTGGGTTGTTCAGTTGCCAGTCATTGGAGTGAAAGAGAAATGTGGGTTGTTCAGTTGCCAGTCAATGGAGTGAAAAGAGAAATGTGGGTTGTTCAGTTGCCAGTCATTGGAGTGAAAAGAGAAATGTGGGTTGTTCAGTTGCCAGTCAATGGAGTGAAAAGAGAAATGTGGGTTGTTCAGTAGCCAGTCAATGGAGTGAAAAGAGAAATGTGGGTTGTTCAGTAGCCAGTCATTGGAGTGAAAAGAGAAATGTGGGTTGTTCAGTTGCCAGTCATAGGAGTGAAAGAGAAATGTGGGTTGCTCAGGACCCAGTCATTGGAGTGAAAGAGAAATGTGGGTTGTTCAGTAGCCAGTCAATGGAGTGAAAAGAGAAATGTGGGTTGTTCAGTAGCCAGTCATTGGAGTGAAAGAGAAATGTGGGTTGTTCAGTTGCCAGTCAATGGAGTGAAAAGAGAAATGTGGGTTGTTCAGTTGCCGGTCATTGGAGTGAAAAGAGAAATGTGGGTTGTTCAGTTGCCAGTCAATGGAGTGAAAAGAGAAATGTGGGTTGTTCAGTTGCCAGTCATTGGAGTGAAAGGAGAAATGTGGGTTGTTCAGTAGCCAGTCAATGGAGTGAAAAGAGAAATGTGGGTTGTTCAGTAGCCAGTCAATGGAATGAAAAGAGAAATGTGGGTTGTTCAGTAGCCAGTCAATGGAGTGAAAAGAGAAATGTGGGTTGTTCAGTAGCCAGTCAATGGAGTGAAAAGAGAAATGTGGGTTGTTCAGTAGCCAGTCAATGGAGTGAAAAGAGAAATGTGGGTTGTTCAGTAGCCAGTCAATGGAGTGAAAAGAAAAATGTGGGTTGTTCAGTTGCCAGTCATTGGAGTGAAAAGAGAAATGTGGGTTGTTCAGTAGCCAGTCAATGGAGTGAAAAGAGAAATGTGGGTTGTTCAGTAGCCAGTCAATGGAGTGAAAAGAGAAATGTGGGTTGTTCAGTTGCCAGTCATTGGAGTGAAAAGAGAAATGTGGGTTGTTCAGTAGCCAGTCAATGGAGTGAAAAGAGAAATGTGGGTTGTTCAGTAGCCAGTCAATGGAGTGAAAAGAGAAATGTGGGTTGTTCAGTAGCCAGTCAATGGAGTGAAAAGAGAAATGTGGGTTGTTCAGTTGCCAGTCATTGGAGTGAAAAGAGAAATGTGGGTTGTTCAGTAGCCAGTCAATGGAGTGAAAAGAGAAATGTGGGTTGTTCAGTAGCCAGTCAATGGAGTGAAAAGAGAAATGTGGGTTGTTCAGTTGCCAGTCATTGGAGTGAAAAGAGAAATGTGGGTTGTTCAGTAGCCAGTCAATGGAGTGAAAAGAGAAATGTGGGTTGTTCAGTAGCCAGACATTGGAGTGAAAGGGGAAATGTGGGTTGTTCAGTTGCCAGTCAATGGAGTGTAAAGAGAAATGTGGGTTGTTCAGTAGCCAGACATTGGAGTGAAAGGGGAAATGTGGGTTGTTCAGTAGCCAGTCAATGGAGTGAAAAGAGAAATGTGGGTTGTTCAGTAGCCAGACATTGGAGTGAAAGGGGAAATGTGGGTTGTTCAGTAGCCAGTCAATGGAGTGAAAAGAGAAATGTGGGTTGTTCAGTTGCCAGTCATTGGAGTGAAAAGAGAAATGTGGGTTGTTCAGTTGCCAGTCATTGGAGTGAAAAGAGAAATGTGGGTTGTTCAGTAGCCAGTCAATGGAGTGAAAAGAGAAATGTGGGTTGTTCAGTAGCCAGTCAATGGAGTGAAAAGAGAAATGTGGGTTGTTCAGTTGCCAGTCATTGGAGTGAAAAGAGAAATGTGGGTTGTTCAGTAGCCAGTCAATGGAGTGAAAAGAGAAATGTGGGTTGTTCAGTAGCCAGACATTGGAGTGAAAGGGGAAATGTGGGTTGTTCAGTTGCCAGTCAATGGAGTGAAAAGAGAAATGTGGGTTGTTCAGTAGCCAGACATTGGAGTGAAAGGGGAAATGTGGGTTGTTCAGTAGCCAGTCAATGGAGTGAAAAGAGAAATGTGGGTTGTTCAGTTGCCAGTCATTGGAGTGAAAGGAGAAATGTGGGTTGTTCAGTTGCCAGTCATTGGAGTGAAAGAGAAATGTGGGTTGTTCAGTAGCCAGACATTGGAGTGAAAGGGGAAATGTGGGTTGTTCAGTAGCCAGTCAATGGAGTGAAAAGAGAAATGTGGGTTGTTCAGTAGCCAGTCATTGGAGTGAAAGGAGAAATGTGGGTTGTTCAGTTGCCAGTCATTGGAGTTAAAGGAGAAATGTGGGTTGTTCAAAAACCAGGGATGATGCCGTACTCAAGCTATTAGTCTTGTGCAGTTGCAGCCAACCCAGAGAGGCTCTTACACAAGCAGCGAAAAGGGGAATCTGTGAAAGGATGTTGAATTGGATTGATTGAGCCTTCATGTTTCTGCTCAGAGCTGTTGAAATTGTAACTTGGATAGACTTAGAGTCCATTTGAAGGTGTAGACATGATCTCCAGCTTAAGAATAACTCATGACTATTTCTGAAAGGTAGCTGGGTTTATTACCTGGTCATTGTAGGGATTACAAGCCCATGTTGCACATGGTTTTGAAAATTACTTTTGGATTGTATGCTAAGTATTGCGCAGTAGATGAAAGACTTTCACCAAACAAATGAAAGTAATGGATCTATTCCTTTCACTGCAGTGGCTAAATTTTAAATCAGAATACAATCTGTTGATCTTAAGTTACACTTAGACTCTCGTCCTGTGCTAACAATGAAGATAAACACTTTGTCTATATTTCCTCACATTATCCGACTTTGTGGCACATTGTATCACTGCAAGCAAACAAAGGCCGTTGGTTGTGTGTATGCGGTGTCTACAACACTAGCGATTGCCTCACAAAGAGAGGATCCTGTCAGAGTCTATTATTACCGGCAGGTGTGAGATATCGATCCCAGGGCCATTATTATTTACGCTCTGTACTCGATGTACAGTCTAGTCACGCGTGCATCATCATGTAGACTGACAAAACACTCGTAACATCCACGCCCGTAACACTGGCACTTGATTGGGATCAGTCACTTGGAATATGGTGGCAATCAAGAAATTTGGCGCAATATCGTACAAAATTTGAAAAATGATTTTCCTGAAGCCTTGAAGGTGAATATATTGCTTGGTGTGATATATGGCCAATTGTGAGTGAAATGGAACTGAAATTAACAAAAATGGTTACCAGAGGTGTCAACATGGCCAACATTTGTTGGGCAAACATGGTCACCAGTTGGCGCTTGGAAGACTTGTCCTGCATCTGAAGGAAGCAATATAGTGGCTTCAGACAGAGATATGACATTTAGTGTGATTTGTAGGCAAAGATGTGTAAAATGACCCTCCACATGATTAATAATGAATGTCTGGGGACTAAGTCGTCAAACATCGTCCATTGAACAAAGGTGCTGCTTGATTTGTTAGAATTATTCATAATGGTCTGGCGATTTACGGTTGAAAGTGATACAGACATGACTACAGGTAATCAATATACCGTATTCGACGTAATAAGCGCCCACCTCTAATAAGCGCCCACGGCCATATTTGCTAATATATTGGCTTGTAAACAATCCCAATAAGCACCCCTTCCGATTAATCAATGTACACAAGACTTATTTATTCACCTATAATACGCACTCGAGTGTTATATGCATCCTTAATTATGGGCAATCAAATTCTGGAAAAATATATCTGTAGTATATAAACATTTCAGGCTGTCAGCATAAACCATGAAATTTATCTTTGAACTCAGCTTTTTTCCCCAAAATAATATTCTGATAAGAGCTCCCTATTTCTAATTTTGAAAGTGCCCTGGGCGCTTATTACCTCGAATACGGTAATTGAGCCAACATACATGTACCCAGCAGTACGAGGTATTGAGCCAACATACATGTACCCAGCAGTACGAGGTATTGAGCCAACATACATGTACCCAGCAGTACGAGGTATTGAGCCAACATACATGTACCCAGCAGTACGAGGTATTGAGCCAACATACATGTACCCTGTAGAACTAGGTATTGAGCCAACATACATGTATCCAGTAGAACGAGGTATTGAGCCAACATACATGAACACTGTAGAACGAGGTATTGAGCCAACATACATGTACCCTGTAGAACGAGGTATTGAGCCAACATACATGTACCCAGTAGAACGAGGTATTGAGCCAACATACATGTACCCAGTAGAACGAGGTATTGAGCCAACATACATGTACCCTGTAGAACGAGGTATTGAGCCAACATACATGTACCCAGTAGAACGAGGTATTGAGCCAACATACATGTACCCTGTAGAACGAGGTATTGAGCCAACATACATGTACCCTGTAGAACGAGGTATTGAGCCAACAAACATGTACCCAGTAGAACAAGGTATTGAGCCAACATACATGTACCCTGTAGAACGAGGTATTGAGCCAACATACATGTACCCTGTAGAACGAGGGATATTCCTTCAACACAAATTGAGTCCCAGGTTATCTTTATGTAAATGTAGTCTCTCCTACACCACATCTGCCCCACACTCCTTCATCACTACCCCATTCATCTCAAGGTTTGACTGATATATTTCTGATGTGACACAACTCACTTGTCAGACATGTGGTAGAGCGTCCGCCCGGAGAGCGGAAGGTCTGGGGTTCGATCCCCGGCCGCGTTAACCAAAAGACGTTAAAAGATGCTACTTGTTGTTACCCTGTCTGGCGCTCGGCATTAAAGGGCTCAAACAAGGACTGGATGGCTCGGAGTCAGTATACTGTGTCTGAGTGGGGTATTCATGTTACACTGCGGCATGGTATCTCAGTGAGCTAGCACTATAAATCGGCATCAGTCCGGACTAGTACAAGCAGCCACACACACACGTGCATGCACGTCGCTATATAAGTGCAATAATCTTGGACGCGAAGTTAAACCCAATTTCACCTCACCTCACTTGTCAGACGAGTGAGTGAACGTTGTTTCATGCAGTACTTCAACTGAAGTCTAAGATCAATTAGATCTGTACCAGATCCACCAGTGGTTGGAGCATGATCACCCCTCCACACAGTCTGGGTACAAAGACACACCATCAACCAGGTCATACATTGCCATACCAAGTGTCATGGACAACGGGTTTGTCTGGACCCGGCCTCACAACATGATATCGCTGCTGTAGTATTTCTGGCAACATATTCCCGGGGCAAGGGAGTTAACTGACTATAAAAGTCCAGTTTAAACCCTTGCCGAACTGGGCTGGAATTATGGAGTTATATTCTGGCTGGAGTGCAGCGTAAGCAACTCGCACACTCTCGCTCACTCATTCCCACAGTGAATCAGCCTTATGGGCCCGTACACAGTTCAACCAACAGTGCTGCTTTGAACACATTCAAGAAATTATATTTTTCTCCCCAATATTTAACTTGCTTGTTCAGAAAGTGAGACTGTTATGAGCAGTTATCCCCATGGATTTGTACAGAAAAACATAAAGGATTTGCTGACATTAAATTCGGAAATTGTCAATTTCTTTTTGTCAAAAATCGTACCAGATCATTACAGATAGTTGCCACTGCTATTGGCCAAGCCTTATGTCAGTGTTACCCAATTAAATTCTTTATTCAGCATTTGATGACTCCCAGAGGAAATTATGCTGTATAATTTTGGGTAATATTACTGATTAATAGTCCATTTTCAGTGTGGCAGATTTATGTGTTATCGATATTGGCATATCTAAATCAACTCTTACTCTCTCCAACACAGGATAGATATATGAACGTAATATCAACGTATGTCCAATGAAATGTCACATAAGATGGACAAGGTTACTTTGCTCCCTGATTGATTTATAGCTATTGGTCAGATATCCCTAACCATGAATAATATCACAGAATTGTAAAGAAAATTGGGTGAATAGAAGTGCTGTGTCAACGGAGAGGTCATCTGGTGTCTAAATGACCCACGATGGCTGTTGATGAGTCGAGTCGGGCATCAGCTGAATGAGGGAGATCACAAATTAGCTGTGTCAAGTTATGCCCCTCTTGAGAGTGTCGTGCTCATAAAAACTGGGAGTGACAGGAAAAAGAATAAAGATTCAAATAGCCCTATGGCTTTGTGAACCCCTGGTGAGGATTTAAAGACATTGAATGACCTATAGGATCATAGCAGCATGAAGGGTCACTCTGGCTCTTTTAGGAGCTCAGTTATTTCAAGGGTCAACTTTCCACTGGACAGTGTTTGAATCACTTTTAACTTGAGCCTGAACAGTTGTGATGGATGATGTTAGCCTTCCTCCTTAATCCAGGGAACACATCTTTTTAACTTGCTGACTTAGGTTTATTTGAATCCAATATTTTAACATCATTAGCATAGGGCAGGTTTTTTTCTCTGTCGGGCTATTTCCTGCTGTATGGAATGCATGGCATTCTGTCCTGACGCTGCAGCGTAGCGTGGATAAAAAATAACTGTGGTATCCGTAGATGCCTGGCAAGTAAGTCAAACCTAGTTTTTGTTGGATTGCAAGGGAAAGTGAAGTAATCTGTCCTGTTGACACGTTGTGAGGACGGTGAGAGGACGGTGAACGTGCAGGTCAGAGAGACGCACTTTTATTGCATTCTCTGTGGAGAAACCCTGAAAGGTATGTCCTGGATCTAAGCAAGAGAATGTCACACCTCCTATTTCTGTCACCCCATCGGCTGGTGACAGCAGCTTTATTTATCGCGCAATTTTACACCCTCCCATTTTGATCAAATTAAAGGATTAAACTGTGTTGTGGTTTAGGCATTTGTGACTTGTGTTAGTGAATGAAGTGTGGAGATAATTAATTTTTTATAACTGTTTAAAAGGAAAATTCAGACATTATTTCACAATATAAGTGCCTTGGGATATGTAATTACTCTCAAATTGTGGCGGTAGTATTTGTGTCTTGGGTTTGAATCCCAGATTTGCCCTGATTATGATACTTGGTTTGTCAGCACCATACCCTTGGGTTCCGACACAGTTGTAGATGTCTATGACCTGGGCCACTTTCTCACACAACAAGCTGACAGACTGGGATATGACTAAAATGCTGTAAAACAACATCAAACCCAACTCATTCACAGTTTATCAGCTCTGTATCTAACGGGTCATGAAAGGAGAGGATAGAAAAATGAAATGGAAACAAAACAGTGGATCAATTTAATGCAGCTATAACGTTGCATAAAACCAGGCAGCACCCCAGCAGCGGAACTGTGCCTCGTTCACGACGCTCGTCTGATATAGCGTGTCATCAGAGTGTCATCAAGAACAGTCGTGTTACGATTGCCGCGTTATTGATCACCCGCTGAAATCACCATTTCAGAAAAAACAAATATTACGAGGCTTAAAAAAGAGGTTTTCTGCTTGAATCAATTCTCCTCTCTACATTTAGACAGTATTTTGTGCGACTCTAGTGCAAATCTAATCACAACCAGACTAATGCTATCAGATTCGTCATATATGCAATAATGCATAACTTTTTTACCCATTACCATGAATGCCCATAAAGACAAGATTAGCTGAATTGCAGAAATATTGAATTAATCGTAATTACTTCAATATCCTTCATATTCCAGTCAGATTATCATTGATTACTTAAAAGAAAAACGACGACGAAAAAGAATAAAATGCATCCTATATTGAATATTTCATAATTGCTGTGCCTTTGAATGAAATGGTTTGTGATTCTACAAAGACTGGCCTGGCAACAAAGGCTTGTGTGTATCTAAGTGTAGAGCGGAGCCGTCAGCCGGTCATTAGACCTCAATTATCTTAGCCCTTATTAATTGTAATTATCAAAAAGTGTGACGAGGACAGCCCTGCCACAGGTGCAGATAAAGTGAATTGTCTCATTAACGAGTGGTGATAGAGATGGTAGTTTTTGGTAGAGGATAAACTGACTAGCAGTTCTGGTTGGCTTGCCTTCTTTGTGCAAGGCTTTATGCAATCAATATAGTTCAGACCCAAACACTGTGTGGTAGAACCCTGGCCTGGCCCTCTCAAATTTGATTTCCAAGCGATTTTATCAAAATGGAATTCTTGAAAATTTTCTGAAGCAGGAAATACGGCCATGACAGCCAGTGTTATCCAATTTTATGAAACTTAGGAAAAAAAGGGTAAAAATCTATCACACACATGCTGTGAAATTTGCTGCACGTTTCCATGAGGTATATCTAAAATTCATGAAGTTTTTAGCCTTTAAAATTGTGTATCAGCAGCTAATCGAGGAATTGCATGCACATGTGTGCACATATTGATAAATGGATTGCCAGAGATTTTGATTACACTTGTCTGGAGTCTATCTTGACGACAAAGGTCTGGCCAATTTCAATAGCCAGGGAGGAGAACTAGTGAAGTCCTTCGTGTACGGCAAGTTCCATCACCGGACAGTGAAACCTTCACACCAGTACAGCACAGAGACATCTCGCTATCTAATTGCATTACCCTTGAATACAGTAGAATCATACAGAACTCACAGATGCCCATGATACCTACACAGACTATACATTTGAATTAAATTAACATCACTGCAGACCCCGAGCGTTTCAGTCGCTCCTTTCTCCCAGTGACAGGTCCTACAACACTGATGTTCATAACCAGGCTATCATGATAGCGTTCATTCTGAATATGTATTCTCTTGATTAGGCGTTGCATTGATCGTGATTAAACCTTGAAGTTTGACGAGCCTAAGGCATTCCAAGGCTAGCCCTATCAGTGTGAACTGTGTATTTAACCATACCAGCAGGCAGGGTTGAGGGGCTCGCGTGGAGCATTGAGACGTAGCCTATCGGTCTGTCTGTCGCTCACTGGCGTAAGGCCAGTTACAGACACTGTTACAGCGTGGTCTGTCGGGCCGCAGTTATTGTGTTCACTCCGTGAGGCGTTCCACTCACTTCGGACCTGTCAAGGAGAGATCTCTGTGTATTTAGGTTGCTCTCGTCATAGGGAGTGGTGGAGCTTCATCTCGTGGATCTATTCTTGCTTGGAGTATACATCTGGATTCACTAATGTTTTCTACAATGTGGATAACCCTTGTGATATGCAGTTGCTGACTTGGGAACTCACTTAGGTCAGTCCTCATGTCTTTGTTTTGGTTTTCCATTTTCAATCAGTAGCCAGTGGTAGTAACGCTGATTTATTCTTTTCATGTGTAACTTTGTATCGTCAGTTGGGACGTAAATACAGATATACCTGAGTGTTGAGTCATACCAGAGGCGTGCTCACTCCTGCTCTCCCAGGTTTGTGTTGTGTTTATTCCACCAGTTATTAATATGGGGCTGAGATGCCTGCGTCTTGACATGCAAATGTGTCTTGTCAGGTAGTGTGGGAAAGGGCTATTCATCCATGTGAAGGATTTAGAACTCTGTGACATAGATGACCTATTTAACAGTGAGTAGCTAGGTGTGTGAGTGCAAACCACTGGAGGTTGGCTCGAGACACACGTGTGTAACATGCTGGCCTAATACACACCATGTATGTTGTGATCGGGATATCGGCTCCTGTAATTAAATTACTTTCAAGAGCTACAGCACACACTGATACCTTAGGAGAAAGTGAAGGATGTGTTCCAGTATTTTACCCAAAAGGCACCAGGTGTAGTCAGATGTATCTTTATAGGTAGAAAGTGTTTGTCAGAAAACTTATCAATAGGAAACAGAAAGCCCTATCCTCTTTGTTGAATTCAGATTATTTTTTGCACACTACATTAAGCTCTTTCTGCTTATAACCAAGTGTCATAAATTATTTCTGGTTGATAGTATTTGTAGAAACTTGGTACTCATGAGGGTGTTTGGACAATAAGAAATATCTCATCTTATCTGACAGACTGTTTGTCTAGTCTCGTGTAAATCTGGAAGGACAACTTATTTCCTCCCTAAATCTTGGCATGTTACATTTACCAACCGTCTGAACTCTGGGCTAGATTTAGTCAAAGAATATTTACTTAACCTCTGTTTTAATAATACAGCTGATCGGTGAAACACTTGCTGGGTCAATGTAGACAGTGGTTAATCTAAGTCAGGACAGTGACTTCTTCTTGTGATGGGGCGTCAGGTAGCCTAGTACTTAAAGCGTTGACTCACATGCCGAAGACCCGGTTCGATTCCGCACATAGGTTCAATGTGTGAAGCCCATTTTCCAGTGTACCCTGCCGTGATATTGCTGGAATATTGCTAAAAGCGGCGTAAAACCATACTCTCTCACTCACTCCTCTTGTAATGAAACTGCGTACAGTAACATCTTGATTTATGAAAGGGTGGAGGATGTTACGACCTTGTGTTTTACCACCCAGCTTTAGTGTGACTGATTTTACAGGTTGAGTGTTTGGCAATATTTTTTGTACTGTTGATAGGATAGCATGTAATCCTAGATTATTGTAAAAGGTGTAAGATCTAACGACATCAAAGGATGAGAGTCATTTGATGGATGCAAGCATCATACACCAGTTAGTCACATTTTTCGGTTACTACTTGTCTCAAAAGAACTTTTTGTTCACACTATATCAACTTAGCATTAATAGCAATCTCATTATGTGTCAATACGTCATGCATGCCATTCTGCTACCTTGGCGTCGAGATGCATATTCATGTTTTCAACATTAGTTTGTTCATGTCCATAGTCTTAGTTCTTAGTTTAAAGAGGCGTTGGTAGCCTAATGGTTGAAACATTGCCTCATGACACAGAAGACCCAGTTTAATTCCACATGGGTAAAATAGAATAAAAATGTTTTTGGTGTCCCAACTGTGATATTGCTGGACTGTTATTGAGAGTGGCATAACAACAGCCTCACTTCCTGTTTTACCCAATGCCTTCTTTGTGGCAATATCTTAACCACACCATGCAGAAATGTTCAGGAGGACTTTTTCGATAATTTGGTGTAAAATTGTTCTAAATCTCTCCTATATCATATTCACCCCTTGACAGTAAAATCATGTTCACTCGAAACAATTTACACCACTTCTTCCATTTCACCCATAGCTACCCCCTTCCTCTGTTGATTACTTCATCCCCCCCCCCCCCCGCCCCCCCCACCTCACCTGTGCTCACCTGCCGAAGTTTCTCCAGCTGTATCCCCCACACACTTGCAACAAATTACACAACCTCTGCGTAGTCTCTCCCCTTTGTGTGATCCCCATCTCAATCTCCTCCTTGCATTGTAAAGCGATATTGCTGAGTGCGATGATGAAAACAGAATCCATATTTCCCTGCCAGCCTTTTGTACAGGCCTGTTTATTTTGTTGCTTGATATTTGAAGATGGTTTGTTGATGGTGCAGTATTGACACACAGCAAGAAGATTCTCTCAAGTGAGAGTTCGCCGGTAGATATGAATATTATTCCATCTTAAACATACATCAGAACGTTCAAGAACTTGCATGAGAAGACAGCATCGATTGCATTGGCCTGATCACTGTTTGTTGAATAACCGCAGCTCAGACCAGGAGTGTTATTGATACTTATATCAGCGAATGTGGAATAACTCCCCTGCCTAATCAAGATGTGCATATCAATCTGTCAGTTTTATTACCTTTGTTTATGGTCGATCAATATTGGGTTTTGTCCAGTCGGTAATTATGTTCACAGACTGAAATAATGATATCTCTCTTTCCAGGTGTGTAATGGTGCCAATAATCTTGTGGTAATGTGTAGGGTTGTGTCAGGAGCCAGGTAAACGAGTCCGACTGCTGGAGTTTGTTTACCGCTGCACGATGCACCAGGCTTGTGCAGTATCTGCAATCATTGATCTACCAGGAGCTGTTGTTGCGAGAACGTTGTTGTGTGTGGGGTTGGCGCAAGACGTGATGCACGCATGCAATATTCATGCTATAGGACATGTTATGGTTAATGCCGATCTCAGGTGATTAATTAGCTCATTAGGAAGTCAAACATATTGTCTGGCTTCCTCTTGAGAAAGATGGGTAGGGACTGTGTCGGAACAGCAGGGAGGTTATTGGAACAGCTTGGGAGGTTTCAGTTTGAATTGTAATGGGTTAGACATGTAAAGCTGAGATTACCACAGATCTTGAAGGATTTAAACATGATCAATGTCATGCATATTCCCAGCTTTTGTTGGTGCCATCATTACAGCATCAGTTCATCAGTATAAAGTCAATAACATTGAAAGAAACCGGACTAAATCACAAATATCTGTTCGGCCGCAGGATGCTGTAACTGTATTAGACATTGAGCTGGAGCTGTAGGGCTGTTGCTAATTCAGTCCTTACAGCATTGAGCACACAGACAGGTGTACATGGAAGACATAGAAATTTGGATGTTTGAGGATTTTTTCTGTCAACCCTTGTGGCTTTGCAAATATAAGGTCATTTGCATTTCAAGTTTCATTTTGCCTGTTTGCCTGCTCATTGTGAGGAAGTGTTTCAAAATATTTTTGTACGGGATCATTTGGTGAATGTGAAAAGAGAAGAATTTTATGTGGGTGTTTTGTGTTCACTGAGGTTGTCATTCCTTGAATGGTGGGTCATTGACAGTGTGATAATCCAGTAGGCATTGAAAAAAACAGACTGGAAAGATTGTAACAAGTTTTGTTAGATAGGTTGGATTATTTTTTTTCTCATGCCTTCCTCATTGATGAGTCAATATAGCCAGTTGACAACTTGTATATCATTAGGAGAGAAAATATTGACAGAATGTAAAAGGACGACTGTGTGTAGGGTTGATCCAGCATCTCTGCAGCATTTGCATCATTGGCGCTGGTAGACGAGTGGTTAAAGTGTTCACTTGTCACATCAGTCACAGGTTCTATTCCCTATTGGTTCAATGTGTGAAGCCCATTCTTGGTATTCCGACCATGATACAGCGGGAGTGGTGATATTAGCAGTGTTAAGCTTTCCCCACTCACTCAGTATCACACCAAAGGCATCAAGACCTTGCTTAACGAACATAATGTATTCTGATGAAATCTGAATTTGATCAATTTGGATGCAAAATACTTAAAGAATTTTATTGTATTTTCAGGTTTAGATGAGATGGTGAGAGGTCAAGGACAACCATGACCCCCTGGCGAGTGCTTGTGGCAGTGACAATTATTTGTGTCATTTGCCCGTGTGTTGAACTATCAGCAGTCCGATATGAGGTTGCCAGCTTTGAGGGTAATGAAGTTTTCAACCACCTTGTTTGGAACAGAGAAACCCAAACGATCTATATTGGGGCTGTGAACGTGATATACAAACTTGATCAAGATCTTAATAAGCTGACAAATGAAACAACAGGACCTCAGGAAGACAATCCAAATTGTCCGCCTCTTATATCAGAAAATATCTCAAAATGTTCCTTGAAAAGAACAAAAACTGATGCTTTCAACAAAATTTTAGTAATCGATTACACCCACCAGCGCCTGATAGCATGTTTTAACCTCTACCATGGCTACTGCGAGAAATACCACCTGGATGACATTAAAAAGAAGGATGACATCCAGCATATCCCGATTGTATCCAACATGATCAATGCTTCGTCTTTTGCATTTATTGCCCCGGGACCCGCCAAGGAGCCAGGTGGAATTCAAGAGGAAGTTTTGTACGTTAGTGCTACCTGGTCCACTCAGGGCCTTAAGGTATACCGTGACCAGATCCCAGCATTTGCCAGTCGAAATTTGGACACTTTCAAACTTGGGATCAAGAATTTCCGTAAGTCAAGAATTGAGATCGAGTCGCAACAACGTGACACTTTTCCGGTTCGCTATATTTACGGATTTGGATCAGGAAAGTTCAGCTATATGCTGACAGTCCAGAAACAGGGAGCCCAACTGGATAATTTCATCTCAAAAATATTCCGTGTGTGTCAAAACGATGCTGCATTTTACTCGTACACGGAAGTGGAGCTGAAGTGTATGTACGGACAGACCCACTACAATATTCTGCGTGCGGCCTATGTTGGCAAGGCGGGGAAGAACCTGGCCCAGGGACTGAACATCCCCACAGTGGAGGACGTCCTGTATGCTGTGTTTTCTCTGGGTGAGAGCTACTCCAAAACAGCTCTGTGTGTCTATCCAATGAGGGAAGTGCATAAGTCATTCACGGAGAATATTCAGTCGTGTTTTCAAGGCATCGGCAACACAGGACCCGACCATATAGTCGGATCAGGATTATGCGTAAAAGCGGTAAGTGGCAGTTTTATTTTGAGTCTTACTTCTTGTTTGTTTGAAGGACTTGACTGGTCCAGTGGTGTAACTCCTGCAATGATGTGTCCCTTAGCTGTGCCAGAATCAGATGGTGGTGGGTTCGAAGCCTAGATTTACCCTCACGGTGATCCAGTGATGGGAAGTTTCAGGAAAGTCGTAAATGTCTAAGACCCGAATCGCTTTGGGCTTTTCTCCCACAATGCTGACAGGCTTGACATGACTGAAATACTGGTGGAAGTGGTGTTAAGCCCGACTCTGTCATGTTGGCATGTATCGCTGTTGCCACATTGTACACTACTGCCTGAGACAGAATTGCCCACGATGAACTCAATTTAATTACTCCCTCTCAGTAGCTACATAACATGATTTCAGACATCCTCTTGCATAAGTCTGTCTAATCTGACGACGCATGATCTGTCTCAAGCACCATATCAGTCTCATAACTTCCATGCTTGTCCAAACTTTCCACTTTGACCATTGACCTTTGACACTTTTGGCTGCCTGTCAAGGGTCATTTGACCCTCTGGGCGTAATGCTTACAGCTCGAGTTGAATTGAGACGTGAGGCATGTAGCGATTTTTGATTATATACTCTCCGTCTCATTTAGGCCTGATCATGATATTGATTGGCTGCCTTGTACGTCTCATCCAAGCGTTATGAAATATTCATTATGTGGAAGAAAGCTTGTTATAGTTAAGGTGTCACTGAGATCTGACTGTCAATCAAGTCCATTGTATGTAAGCATAGGACCAAATCTGTCATGTTTACATAGGTTTGAGTATTCATAGTGAAACGAGATAAAATGATTGAGATAACGTAAAAAAATGCTGACTCAGTGAAACAAGATATGCCTGAAGTAGAGAAGGATACCAGTAGTGTCTTTGTCATTAGGTCTGTAGGTACTAGGAAAAAAGTTTTAATGTTCTGAAAATGTGTAGGAATTGTTTAAACTTTAAATCTTCTTCAGATGGAGTCAGATGGACATTTTCAAGTTTATAGTGGTATCTCATAACACGTGGTTAGTTTCTGACGGGCAGATTTGCCCTGATTGTGATCCTTGCTCTGTCAACACCATGCCACTGCTGGCTGAGGTTCACCAAAATGGAAACATTGTCGACATGTTTCACTATAGACTGACACAGCCTGATGGTGTTTGGCCTTTCTCTCAAATCAAACTGATATACAGCTGAAACACTGTACAAAGTGCTGTTAACAAACTCACTCAGTATATTTCCACTGCTCAGAAATACTAATTGTTTGTTCAAGATAGATTGACACAAATATAGTTTTTTTATTTTGTAGTCATTTACACATAAAAGTATTGAACCGAATGCTCTTTATTTATTTTAAAGGTAAACTATTGTGTCATGTTAAGAAGAATGTGCAAGCTTTAATTAATTTTTCACAGCTATGATATGGTCTTGTCGACTTTTGGGTAAAAACGTTGCCACATTTTCTGTATTCGATATTTGAATATCATCTAGACAGCATTTGTTTTATTCATGTCTGCAAATCCATATGTCTGTCAAGCTGTTCTTCATGCATGGAAATAGTCCATGGTTGGTCCTTACAGAGTTAAGGCCAGATGATGTGCTCTACATTCAATAGGAGAGATCATTGTTACTGGAATATGTGTAGCACAGCTTACGCCACTGGCTGCGAGTCTTCCCCTGTCAAATTTGTCATTGGATTAGCCATGAGCTTCACTGTTTTATTCCACCAAGATCGGCACATGATAAACTACCATCTTTCCAATGAACTGTCTAAGATCTCTGTGTTTCCTTCAGTCTGATCAAGATGGCACTAGGCAGGGTCTTGCGATAACCTATTGAAGAAATCGATCGTCTGAAAGCCCTCTCTGAGTGTAGATGTGTTTCTCTTCTCTCCTGAATTTCCATAAAGAGGTATTTTACGTTGGGGAACATCTCGCGATTAATCCTGTGTTTTTTCAAGATGTGGCTGCCTATGGATTAGTTCCCTGGTTATGTTGATCTGTTTTTACAGCAAGTTCGCGTTAAACTTGAGTCGTAATCAATGTTAAAGATGCAGCTACCGATCGTAGACGTCAAAGACTCAACTCTGTAAATATTCTGTGTACGCTCACGACAAGCCATGCTGTCAACTTCTCTAGCCTTGAAACATGGCTGACAATGAAACCTTTTAATTTTTTTCAATCTTTTTCCTGGAGTCCATTTGTTCCATTTCCGCTTCTTCCCTTTACGCTAAACTTAGAATTTTGTATTTTGTTAGGACACATTGTAGAACATACTTTTTTTTATTGTTGACTAAGTCAAGGTGAAGGTTATAAGATAAATAAAAATGAGGTTATTTTAGAGGGAATAGATTCTTCACTGGGATCAAAGGCAGTAACTGTTTGTGTTGTAGTTCCAAATAAATGGTTCATCAAGGCAAGATAATGACCCATTCAGTTCAGTCTTCTTAAAAACCCACTGGAACTTGGTGTAAACATCACAACTACTTTGGAAACAGACAGTATTTTAAATTCCAGAGCTGCCAGAGTCAGGCAATAACATTTGCTATCACTTTGCAAAGAGGTTTCTGCCATGGCTCTTACAGTTGAACCTTGTGAATATAAACACAGTCCTTACAGTTGAACCTTGTGAATATAAACACAGTCCTTACAGTTGAACCTTGTGAATATAAACACAGTCCTTACAGTTGAACCTTGTGAATATAAACACCGTCCTTACAGTAGAACCTTGTGAATATAAACACAGTCCCTACAGTTGAACCTTGTGAGTATAAACACAGTCCTTACAGTTGAACCTTGTGAATATAAACACAGTCCTTACAGTTGAACCTTGTGAATATAAACACAGTCCTTACTGTTGAACCTTGTGAATATAAACACAGTCCTTACTGTTGAACCTTGTGAATATAAACACAGTCCTTACAGTTGAACCTTGTGAATATAAACACCGTCCTTACAGTAGAACCTTGTGAATATAAACACAGTCCCTACAGTTGAACCTTGTGAATATAAACACAGTCCTTACAGTTGAACCTTGTGAATATAAACACAGTCCTTACTGTTGAACCTTGTGAATATAAACACAGTCCTTAAATTTGAACCTTGTGATTATAAGATGTAGCCCTTACAGTTGAACCTTGTGAATTCGGGGCTTACAGTCTCACTCACTCACTCACTCACTCACTCACTCACTCACTCACTCACTCACTCACTCACTCACTCACTCACTCACTCACTCACTCACTCACTTACCTCATTGATAGAGCGAATGGCAGCAGACTTCAGCAAATGAAAAAGGTTTTGCCTTCTTCACATTTATATAAGAGATAGAACCTTTTTCTGTATTTTTCCTTTTACTCTTAATGAGAGGTAATCAAGCCTCAAGAAAATCAAGCCAGTCCACGGAAACATTTTCATATCATTAACAAAGAAAGTGCCTTTGAGAGAACGGTTATACATTCTGGCGATGGTGTAGCCTTGCATGCACACAAGCAGTCTCTATCGGAAACTGTTATATGGGGTGGACACCACTGGTCTCCTCCAACAAATCTACTGCTCATTCTAGACCCAAAGTGTATGTGACTGATTGACACTAGTGTCAGATTAACGAACCAACTATTGAGTCCCACACCATCTGCATTTTGATCAGATTAAACCCAATCTGGATTATAAAAGATATTCAAGTCTAATCAGCATTAGAAAAAATAAAAGAGGGAAATGTATTGTGTAATAAAAGATTTCCTAGACTGTATGTTAGCCTGTAGACACCTGTCCATCCATGTCTGGTGGGTTCTGTGGGTTCAGAGTTGACCCAGGAACTCGGCAGTAATCTTGTCTCAGAATGTGGGGCCTACATTCCTGTTTGGCTGTTTTGGCTACATTCTGTCTGCTGTTTGAAACCTGACTCCACTCAAACCAACAGGGGTCAAGACTGACCTTATCATCAAAGAAAGGTCAAAGTAGATTGTCAAATATTTACCTTCTTAAGAATTCACAGAGCCATTCATAAGTGGAGCAGTATATCTATAGGTCACAAAGACTGATGCCAGATCTATCCCTGGGAATGTTCAGTTTGTTGAAATGGGAACAAGATTTACTGTGTTTATAATCCAGAACCTTGTTTCAAGTAATTTATAGGGTAAAGTGATTTATAATTTGTTGTGAATTGCCTAGGTATCACTATCTGATAAAGCATTTCTTAACACTGGGGCTTCCTTGTTATTCTGGGGGCGGTCGGGTAGCCTAGTGGTTAAAGCGTTCGCTCGTCACGCCAAAGACCCGGGTTCGATTCCCGACATGGGTACAATGTGTGAAGCCCATTTCTGGTGTCCCCCGCCGTGATATTGCTGGAATATTGCTAAAAGCGGCGTAAAACCATACTCACTCACTCACTCACTCCTTGTTATTCTGGACTCTTGTGTGTCATGTGTACTCTCCGAAACTGATGAGTCGACAAATTTTGCCTTTGCAGTCGTCACTATTTCAGAAAGGAACACTGCAGGATTAGGACCAAAAACAAGTACGCATAAGCCCCAAATGAGTATATTCATTACTGGAGAGGGGCGGTCGGGTAGCCTAGTGGTTAAAGCGTTCGCTTGTCACGCCGAAGACCCGTGTTTTGATTCCCGAGATAGGTACAATGTGTGAAGCCCATTTCTGGTGTCCCCCACACTGATATTGCTGGAATATCGCTAAAAGCAGGATAAAACCACACTCACTCACTCACTCACTCACTCACTCACTCACTCACTCACTCGTGATGTAATTTTGTAAAATTTCCATGGTAGGAGTGACATGGTAGTTGAGTAGTTAAGGTGTTTGCTGGTGTTATCAGTGATTTAGGTTCTATTCCACTGGTTCATATAGTGTCCAATCTCTTTCACTTACTCACTTTCCAAGGTTTCCAATGGGGGGGTTAGTGGTTTGGAATAGTCCCCCCACAAGGGTCGATGGTTCCATATTGTAGCAACACTCAATTACAAGGGAGATGTGGATAGCATCAACTTGCTGTACCCTAACTAATATCTTCGGCCCTCAGATTTTCTGTGCGCAGATCTATCATTGTGGATGTCTGGGATTTGAGAAATTGGGCAATAATGATACAGCATACCACGATGACACTATCTCCTGGCATAACGGCAGCGCCTCGTAAACACCTTTCAATTCAGAATTAGTCGAATTGTTTTTCTTCCACAAGTTGCACATCAATACAACTTTCTTAAATAATCAATTTAAATTGAATGAAATCTTCCATTTTGTGGCCTATTATTGATTCAAGTTGTTGAGTGCAGGTTTTCAGTATTGAATAAAGATCTATTCCTATCCGCTATTCTTCCAATCAATGTGCTTGATTAAGTGTTACTGAAAACGGACCATATAAAAAATAGTTTGGGTATTTTTTAGACAAGAAATACACACAGCAGCTGATAATCTCTTATTCTGGATCCAGCCTTCTTAACTTGTTATAAACAAAAGCTTAAAATATTTTATTACACAATTTCTAAATGCATTAAATACTTTTGAGATTGATGGGAGTTGTTCCCTGTTTAATGGCATAAAGTGAGCTGGTTGTTAAATTCTGGTGATCATGACAGTGAAACAGGCTTCTTAAGCTTTAATTGGAAAAATATTCTTTCGCAAAAAAGGGAAAACATTCATTTGTTCTGCACGAAACAGGCTTGGTATTATATTCAGAAATTTGCACTATCCCCGACCATGCTGGCGACCACAGGAAAATGCTATTATTCAAACTCAGGTCTGTCTCAACACAGCCAATGAGGTTCACTTTTTTCATTTGGAATTGATTATATAGACTTTGTATGGAAATTGAAGGGGGTATTCTTACAACACCAGGGAAATTAACTAGTATAGAAGGAGTTTTCTTTCTGTGGCCCACCAGTGAAAGATAGCAGGACGTTGCATTTCATTTCACGCTAAGTCACCCTTCATCTTGAAAACGATGGCATTGGCACGTTCTCCGAAAGGATTTTGCGTATTCCCTCAATAAAAATGTGCGGGATCTACCTAGGCAGTCAGTAGACCAAAATATCTAACTATGAGCTGAGAAAAAACATGAATAAAATATGTAATTGTTCGTGGTTTCCAGACAATAATGACAATATCCCGATTAACAAGTGCTACCTCTAAGATGTGTTACATTGAGAAAACACTTTGGTTCAAGGCTTCAGAACGTTGACAGTCGTAAGAAGAAAATGCCCATTAATATTTTATCGTATGTTGTTGAAGCAGTCGTGTAGGTGAGAAAAGCTCGAAGTGTTACAGCAGAAAGCGTGGACGTAATTTGTCGTTCCTGAGCCGAACAACAACAAACACTGACTTTATAATCGTTCTCAACACAATAGCCATGCATAACTTATAACTTTGTGAGACTTTAACCTTTTCACTTTAAAACTGAGACATTTTATTACAGACTGTCTGCCACATTTAGTATCGGATTGTCTGTTGCCGTTTACAGTATTTAATGGATAAGATTGAGTGGATGGACAATGAGACGTCAGATGGAGTTAGTGATTATAGTCTTGTAGTATATCAGCTCATTAATACAGTGTGAAATGTGAGCAACCAGGATTATCTCTGGTGGCAGATTAGAGGCTGAATCAACTTAATCCATGTACTTTATATGTAGTTGAATGTCTGTCGACTGACATCTTGTCTCTGAAATGAACATACATACAGAAAAAAACAGTTGTTAAATCATCTTTATAAAAATATAATTAAACAGAGCCCAGAGACTAGCTTCATTTCAGATACTGCAGTAATCTAGACTTGCCTACTTATATAGACTTGCATGGGCTTTATTGGATATATTTGTTTTATGTCTGCTGTGGGTTCATTGGACCCACATCTTGACAGTGGGTTGTTGTTACTGGTAGGGCAGGAACTATGACACTGAATGATTGCCTTGGAGACATTAATATGAATTATTACTGTGATGACATTGATAGCAATAGCAACAGTAATTAACAGCTGCTATAATGGTTTTTGTTTGTTTGTTTGTTTGTTGTTTAACGCCGCACTCAGCAATATTCCAGCTCTATGACGGCGGTCTGTAAATAATCAAATCTGGACCAGACAATCCTGTGATTGACATCATGAGCATCGATCCACCATTTGGCATCCATGACATGCATCAACCAAGTCAGCGAGTCTGACCACCCGATCCCGTTTGTCGCCATACACGACAAAGCTGCTGTATTGACTGACAACAATGGAAAGTAATACAGTGTGCCAAATATGTCACAATATTAATAAAAATGTTAACAAAAGGAGAGATACAAAGTGATAATGACCACTGAAGACCATTACAACAATGAGAAATTGATAATCAAAACAATATTGAACATAAAGACGATGATTGTAATGATATTGAAAATGACAAAAGAAATAACTATTTTTATCAATGGCCGAAACCTATAGGATGAATCAGTAGTAATGATTGCAATGATGGAGAAAACATTGGCAGCATGAACAATAATGACTGGGCCATTTGCACTGATGACAATGATGAAAATGCTGTTGAATTCTAGAGGGAAAGTGAACTGAATTCCTTTTAAGGTAAAGTAATCCCTTTTGAACAGAAACTTTGAAAGGCCTTTGGTACAGAGATGAAATATTCATACCAGATCTATTATTTATATTCTTTAGATATGTCAGTCACCATTACTGATAAGATTTGTGCATAATTACACCAAAGTTTGCAGCATTATTCAAGGGAGATGTACAAAGAGAAATATTTAGCAAGTCAATTGCAGCTCTTCAGATTTCAACAGGAAACGTTTGTTGACAGTTGTTCATTTTCAGATTAATTCTTTCCCACATTTTATAACCTCTTAAATATTACATGAGAATCTGAGCTTGTCAATTGGAAGTAAATGGAAAGTAAACCCCACACCAGCTTTGCTTTCAAGGCCTCTCAATGGCCTCTAAATGGCAGTCGATTTTCTATAGAATTACTTCGGTTCCGATAACAGAATCACTCTTGGCCAGAACATTCTACCACTGTATCGGTTAACGTTGATCATTTTACCTTGCCTTGTGGGGGAATACTGATCAATCCTATTTCACCTAGTAACCCGAGTCTACTTTTTGTATCAACACTCACACTTTTTTATGTGACCCTCGATGGGTTTATTTGTTGCTGAAATTGTAAGTAGAGATGGTGTGTGAAGCAGTTCAGTTGGGTACCGAGGGTGGTGCTGGTGCAGGGTTGGGTTGGACAGGAAATTAGCATTGGAACAGGAAGTTGGTAGGAAGAGGGGACCTGGTAGGCATCCTGTGACGCATGTCACCTGGCCGCGAGTGATACCTAGGACAATGGCCACGTTAATGACAACTGATCAATCGCTGGCCTTTCCTTTTATTCAGAATCAATGAACATGAGGAACTATTGCTCTTAGCCAATGAAAATCAATCACGGTATTTGAATTGGTACGCTTTTAGCAAGCTTGACACATGCAGTATGTGATCTATGAATTGAAAAACAATTTATTAAACAAAGATCGTGCGACGCCCTCGGATGCCAATTGTAACAATTGATCACACACAGTTGCCTGGGGATCTTGGTTCTGTGCTTCCCTCCAGTACATTGCAATTGGTGGCGACAGGATGACCACTCATCACTACAAATCTGTATCAATCTCTCTGTACTCTCTCACACCATGACTTGCTCAGCTACCATTGTTTGAACCAGTCATCGGAACATTGATGTCAGTGTATCGCCTCAGGCGGCCAAAGTTATTATGATAACACACAGTCAATGGTCATGTTATTATGATATTAATCCCCTTTTAAGATGCAGTAATGGCAACATTGTATCAAATAGAGTATTATGATGGTATTTTGATGTTATTTTTACCAATTGTTAGCCAGACGTATTCAGATGGAGGTTATTGTATTTGAGGTTATGGCATGGCTCAAGGGGATGAGCAAGAAATGACTTTGGTGATTACCAGTTGGTAGGAAATGATTTTGTCAGTTGAATTATTGCACTGGTTTTGTACAGTGATTCGGTCCAAGTGGAAAATCTAGAGGCTGATGTAGTCCAGTTGTTCAGTTGTTATAGTGTCAGCAATCATATTACAGACATTCCCACTTGGGTACAATGTTTGAATCACGTTGGTGGTGGACCCGTGAAGATCCGGGGTAGAATAGGTCTTCAGCAACCCATACTTGCAGTAAAAGGTGACTATGCTTGTTGTAAGAGGCAACTAACGGGATCAGGTGGTCAGGCCCGCTGACTTGGTTGATGCATGTCATTGATCCCAATTGCGTTGATTGATGCTCATGATGTCAATGACTGGATTGTCTGGTCCAGACTTGATTATTTACAGATGTCCGTCATATAGCTGGGATATTGCTCAGAGCAGCGTTAAACAACAAAAACAATTTTACAAACAATAGTTGTATCCCGTGTCATGTAAACAAGCTGGATGGAAATGGCTCACCTTTGATTGTGGGATGCAGGGTTTGGTAACTACTTGAAAACATTAGCTTTCATCTATGACTGAACACAAATTCATATATATACCCCATTCATCACTTGGTTGCAGTCACACCAGCTTGACAATGGTGTAAGAATCTTCATCAAAATGTTGTATATGTAAGAAACTAGATGTTGTTATCCATAAAGTTGTATGTTTTCTGAACAGTGGGACATCAGTGGTGTGCATCCCTACTGAGTACTGACACAATGAAACGTTGGTTTGTCTGGTCCAAGCTCAATCAGCGTAAGGCCAGGATGAGGAGACTGAAACATCCAGCATTCAGCGTACTCCAGTCAGCATCTGACAGCAGGACAAGCAGCACAATAGGATGTTGAAGAACAAAGATATATCTGAGTCAACTACATCTCTGTTCCTAGGGTAAAGACAGCTGAGAAATGAAACCATATTTGAAATGTATTTTTACAATTTCAGAATTTCAACATTACTGATGACTACTGTGGCGAACATGACATCAACAACCCCATTGACGGCAACAAACCCATCACCGCAGATGCAGCGCTGCGATTTGGCTCACATACAAATGTGTCGGCCATTACTGTCGCCATAACCCACGATTACACTGTAGCATTCGTGGGGACGAGTAGAGGAAATATAATTAAGGTTTGTTTTTTTAGTTGCACAAAAATGCAAACTTTCTTTTCTTGCCTTGATCAATTTACAACTTTCAAGTTCCATTTAGCAATCAGAAAAAAGTACCTTTAATCTTTTGTATGTGCAAAATTGATTTGTTTAGGATCTTTTGAACTCAACACTACATTGCTGGATCAAATACACAATTTTGGAAAAAACATTTAACAAGAACTTATCATTCAGAGGAGGGTTCCAGTGGGAAGAATGTCACTATTTTATATGAAACTGATTGAAATTTAATCAAATGTGAGAAGGCTATGAAGAATGTCGTATATCTGTTGCGCTGGTTTAGAGCCCTTGTTTTCTCCTGTGTCGGCTGCATTCAAAGCAAGGGCATACACATACTTACAGGACATCAGTTCCTACACTCTACATGTCTCTCAGGGATACCAGGACGTAAATACTGCTAAAACTCTCCGCACAGGATCTTTGAAAATTGGAGATGTAAATTATTGATTTTTGCCAGAAAAGGACATTTTAAATCGGTCTTTGTTCTTTTGACAAAGCCAGAGTGCTTGTACAAATTGTCACCCACACTTAATGGTTTTGAGTGAAATGGTATGGAATTTCCGCACGAGGTGCTTTTTAGTATGTACACTGAACGTTTGTATGGCTGACCGATCCAATCCCAACTACTGATTTGACACAAGTACATGTAACCTCACCACTCATATTTCCAACTCTCTCAGGGGATGTTTAAATCACTTCTATTATGTATATATTGAAAAGGATTCTTTTATAAGTAATCACTTTGGTGAGAAAAGGTTTGAGTAAATACCTCTCTTCAGGTTTCAAAGGTCATTGCTGAGCTTACCGCTTAAATTTTCATTTGTCAACAGCTGAAGACGTTCCAGCAATAGTTTTGAACGCTTTTGACCGATCCAAACTCTTTAACACATTGTAAAGTTTCATTCCCAGTTTTTGTAAATGTGTTACAGATGTTTTAGCATGTTGTTTTCAAGGACCGTTATAGCTTGAATATAACTGACATGACATTAAGGGCTGTTAGTCTCAAGTACACCTAAATGGATGCTTGGAATTACGAGGGTATTGCCTTGATTACTTTGAAGGAATGATTTGGCTGCTCTATAAATGATTTATTCCTTTCTTGTCTGGCTTATTGCCAATTTACAACTCAAGATATAATATTCACATTTATGATACAACCTTGTGCATGGGACACAAAATAAGTTCACATTAGCATTTTGACTCTCTTCCTCCGTGTACACAAACCTAGTGGTCTAGTTGTAGAGTGGTAAAGAGTCCGCCCAGTGAGCGAAAGGTCTGGGGTTCCTTCCCCACCTACGTCATACCAAAAGACGTTAAAAGATGGTGCTTGTTGTTACCCTGTCTGGTGCTCAACATTAAGGGCTAAAACAAGGACTGGTCAGCTTGGAGTCAGTATACTGTGTCTGCGTGGGGTATTCATGTTAAACTGCGGCATGGTATCTACCATCATGGCTAGCACTATAAATTGGCATCAGTCCGCACTAGTACTAGCAGCCCCATCCCACACACAACGCTATATACATGTAAGTGCAATAATCTTGGATGCAATGTTAAACCCCATTTCACCTCACCTCTTCCATGAACACTTTCAACATTTATTAAAGATTAAATGTGTGTTATTCTTGAAACTTGTCAAGTTTTGATGTAGGACCTTGGTGGTCGAAGGCATTGAAAATTGCTTGACAGAGTTTCTTCCAGTTGCCACCAGGATCCACCAGGATCCACAACTACTGGATTTGACTCCAGATTCTCCCCAATGTAGATCCATGGTCTTTCAGCACCTTCGACTAGGGATGGGACTGTGCAATCCGATACGCATCACAATACCTTGCTCACGATCCGATACATATCACGATACTTGTATGTGGATAGGATATTCAAATACCTGGCACACTGATGATTTACAGTTGGCAGTGTCAAGTATGGTGCAATGGATGAAAATATTTACTTTTTCACAACTAATTTTCACAACTAATTTGTGTTTGGCGTAACATTTATTAAAGAAAACATTTAAGGTGAGAATCGATACTTTTTACTTTGTGAGCTACTGTGATCGATCGGGAAGTGAAATATTGCGATCTACCAATGCATCGGCGTATCGTCCTACCACTACCTTCAACAATGTTTCTTGCATATACCCACAACACATCACTTGGGAATTTCCTCTCGCATAAAGCTGACCTGGGGTGATAAACGTGGTATACCTCCCAACCCAGCTCCCACCATTGGGTTGCATGATAACCACTGGAGTTGGTACATTCCAGGTGACGATCGAGAGTAGGAAGGTGGCATCGGTGTATGACAACGTGACTGTGCAGGAAGGAAGCATGGTCAATGCCGACCTCCGCATGGATGATCAGAAGCTTCACCTGTATGTCATGACAGAGAAACGGGTAAGTGTTCACTTCATCTCAGGTACAGTACAGGGCAGAAACAAGTTCATCATTTCTAAAATAAATCATCGGACACCTGATAGTCAAATCCACTGCTGGCAACCCTTTTCCTGAAAGTCCTGAAAGTCCAGACAAGGAAAATCATCATTTTCACAGTATTTCTCAATTTTTTCTATAGGTTAAACTTTTTTCAAATCTGAACATGATATATGTGTGGAGAAATCTGGCCTGTACTGTGCTTAAACTTTCACTGTTTTTCCTACAATGTCTTATGTGTGTCATTAATGGGAAGAAAACAGACTTGATGGATTTTACTGGTGGACTTAGCGACGGAAGACTTGAGACATCACAGACTACATCCGGCATCCTACATCCTACAGGGATACTGAGATGTTTCAGTTTTAAGATGTGATGAATGTGTTTTTTCCAGATTCTGTAAATAGTATCTTATTTTTTGACATTTTGTGAATAAGCCAAACAGAGGGATGCCATTCCTTGACGGTATCACTTTATATTGAGTGTTTCACTGGTGTTTGATGGGCAATCTATCTTCAGAACACTGCTCCTAATTGTGTTGCACACTTCGTTGGTACACGATAATAGCCCGAGTAAGGCAGCGATATACAGATTACTTGTCTGAAGCGACCCCACACAAATGTCAACTAGGAATTGTAATTTTGTTCGCAACCTATTATCCAAGTTCACAACGCAAGCAGATAAAGATAAACCTTAATTTGTAGGAACTGAAGCAATAACAGTGGACAGGGGGTCGTAAATCGTGAGACGGGCGATATAGAGGTGATTGGTCACGTCAGACGACCTTCTTGCTTATGATGACTAACTCACCCCATGTTCATTGCATTGAGATGGCCAATATCCCCATTGAAGTCTCCCTGACTCGCAGCCACTTGATCTGGCCTTATGGAACAACCCCCATAACGGGAAGATCAGATTAAGAAGATCATTACAAATTTGATTATCACAGACCCAAACAGTCCGGACTTAACAAATGTATCTTTGCTGTCTCAAAGCTAATGACCAGCTTTCTTTGTGAAGCAGTAGGCATTGTTTACTGCAGTGTGAGGCCATCATTTTTCCATGTCAGGATGGCAACGATGACAAATTATTTTCAATATTGCTTGGAGGGTGTTGTTTCCTCGTCTCAGCTTTCACTAAGAGCTTCCTTTCATCGTGGTATATGTGAGCCAAGATGTTTGGTATATCATGTTTGATGTTAAGGTATAACATAGGACTGTATCAGTGTCTGTGCTGTGATGACAGCAGAATAGTTTCTGACAAAGGATCTCTCATTTGTGATTTGGTGGTGTTGGTCCTGGAATGGAAAATTGCAATGTTGATAATGCTTGGAACAAGAGATGCCACAGGATTAGCTCAGCATGGGTTAGTAGTCTCTGATCAGTCGTATCTTTTTGATCAAACTGATCAAATGGATGGTGATGGGTGAGTGAGTGAGGTGGGTTTTACACCAATTTTATCAAATTCCCAACAATATCAGCACAAGGGACACCAGGAAACAGGTTCAGACATTGAATATGGGTCTCAACTACCCCACTTGCCCTAATGGGTTGGCTTCATCACGAACGACATCTTCCCATCATAATGTGGGACACTCTTTTCAACTTGAGTATTTTGGAATGTAATCTGCATGGATGGACAATTATGAAATGTGATGTGGGCTTATCTTATCTAGGGCTGTAAGGTTTGGATTGTTGATAAGAAATTTTATTTTGATGGCCTAAACTTAAGTGATGATTCATTTTTAATTTTTTGCCATTTAGTTAATCATTGCAAATCACAATTTCTGATTTCAATCACATATCTTCAGGTCAATAGCATGTGATTAAAGGGGAACCGTTTCAAATATTGGAGCATGGTTAATTCACCCATGTTATCTCGGTGATTCTGGCCTTAATGGCAAGCTATTTGTGTTTTCTTGTCTCACCTAATGATACATCGATAATTGATTGTCTTATGCTATTTCAAAGCAGCTTTCAAACACTGTTGTAGCCCAATTTGGGACAAATTAAATTATTTGATGCCTATGCTCCCCCAAAAAGAGATTCTTGTAGCAGCCTTCATGCCATAAGATTTTGTGACGGTAGAGATTATCAGCGAAAAATTCTACAAAAGACCTGAAATTAACAGACACATCATTGGGTGTGAGGAAAGCGTTTTGTCTGTAGCAAGAAGCACGAAATGACGTAGTCCAGTTGAAACATACTTTGCAAACTCTCATTAGCAGCATGTTGTGTTCAGCAGGCCTGTTGCCAAGTTTTGACATAGACTATGTTTTAATAGCCAGAAAGTCAACCTTGACCTTGAATCTGGTCAACCGCTTATACACTCCACGTTGATGGTATGATCCAATATGTCTTGTAGTTAATAATGCGATGAAGGAGCAAAAAGCTTTGTAACAAAACACTCTCAGCAAAAACAACAAAAATGTGGAATACTTAACATGGCTGACTTCCTACTGTGAGTCTGGGCAACTTTAACACATTGTGTCCAGTCACGCATGGTTTGACGCATCAAGGAAGTGCAGTAGCTGTGCATCATGGGAAAGTCTTTGAATGCCTTGCTATTCCTGTTGAATTCTTTAGTGGAGCTTCTAAAACATGGAAGGGGAGATAAGAGAACATGGAGTGATAATTTCCTAATTAAGTGTCAAAGAGGTTCTAAACAGGCACAGGTAGATTAGATTATTAAACTGCGTCTTGTGATCATCCTCGTCCAAAAGGTTTATTAATTTTTTGGTGGTTCGGTTGAAACATGCATCGCGTAAGGTGCTCAGTAAACATCCACCTGTAAATACTAATCCCAACATTAGCTTAAAGGTTTCAAGAACAAAATGGCTTCCTCATTGACCCTGATGTTTTTTCCTTCAAGAACAACCAGGTGGCGGTAAACATGATAAGCACTGCCTTGCCAGCGTGGTCTGTAAGTGACCACTTGTGGAGGAGGGTTTGAATCAACAAGTAAACAAGGCATGAGAGGAAAGCAATCGGCTGATGTAACAGGCCACTTGGTTCTGTCTTACACTGAGGCTGCAGGAGGAGAAATCAATCTTGATCAATGGGAAAAGATCACATGGAAGAGACCTGGAGCACTTTTCAGGGAGTAGGATTTTAATGCCTTCAACCATTCCCCCCTCTTTTGGCAACTAATGATTTGTAAGCTTTGACTGTATCTCTTGCTACAAAATCAATGCCAACCTCCAGGTCAACAGTAGGCCTATCAAGTTGGGTGTAAACTTGGAGCAGGCGCGAGGATAAGTCACTTTGGGTGCTGAGGAAGGAAGACTGATATCAGATCCAGGGATGGAAATTTCAGACAGTCGCAATCCAGGAACATGGTTTATGATGTTGGCGGTTATGAATGAATTATATCACTGTGATCCTTTCCTGGTTCCGAGTAGAGTGCCGAATTAAATTTCTTATTGATTTCCGTTACTCTCCCGTTGATCTTATCGCTGTCAGCAAGCGGTAAAATCAACTCGGAGTGAGCGATACACGTTTCATTAGTTTGCTCAATCGGACATCTCCTTTTCAGTAATGTTGGGGTCAACAATTTGCAAGGAGAGAGTTTTCAGACACGTTGAGGAGTAAATGTTGCCATGTAGGTAATCTCGCCCGGTCCTCAATTTGTGCAACTTCTCTCACTATAAGTGAATCAAGGCAAATCAGGGAAATTCACAGCTGCTTCCAGAATGCAGAATGTGCTGTCCCGCTAATGCAATTTTCCTTCTTGGCGTTTCAAGGCAAGGACAAGTGGGGCCGACTGTCATCTTAAGGGTTGCATGGTTTACCAAACCAGCTTAAGGCAGGATTTGGACATAGTGTTTATCACGTTTTAGCCAAGTGGCTTATCCTCCACTGAAACCACGTCCTCATCAGATTGTCGTTACTGGTTGTATGGTGTCGCGGACTCCCCCCCCCTACTCCCCCTCCTCCTTGGGGTGTCTGAGCTGAAGAGGGTTTCATACCGTTTCTGCTCCAGCCATACGGACTTGCATGATCGGAATTAAAACCTGGGCATTAGTCTCCTAAGGTGGATAATTGCTTGAATTGGGACGAGGTGTATCTTATTTGATGGACATGTTCTTGTCCCAGTCAAAGCTTCGGCTCATGATTTTAGTATCAAAAGAAAGTTTCAAGTCTGAAGGATAGAAAATAAGGACATTACAAGACTTCTTGCAATGTGATGTGGGTGGATGACGGCTAGGAATTGATGGCCGCTTCATACCATCTTTCAAGGATTCACGGATGCCATTGTCCTGAAATGAGTTAAATTTTCCAAATCAATGAAATGAATATATTCACAAAGAATTGATTCCAAGTCATCTCTTTCAGACCGTGCTTGGGTCGGGTTTTTGGTCTAGACTAAGACAGATGTTGATAGTTACTTCTGAGGATCATTTCTTATATAAATAAATACTTCCTAATCTGGCACTGCTGGGGGACTATTCCAACCATTCAGCTTTTCATGGCTAAGTGCTCTATTGTGTGGAGATAACGAAACGACTGGTGAGGTCATAGAGGCCGTTATTCCACTCTCTTCTATCATAGCAGGATCAGGATTTTCATAAGGGTGACTGCTTCTCTTCACAAATATTTGCCAGCTATGGTGTCGCATCTGACCATCGGACACTGCAGCCAAGACCTTGGTCCAAGCTGAAAAACATCACTTGTCCAGCATACGTAACCAAAATCATGTAAATACGGCCAAGTGTCCATTAAAAGCCAGAGCTTCCATGAAAGAGCAAGGCACAATGGCACTCTAACTGTGTAAATTAAGCCAATTGAATATCTCTCCAAAACCTCCTACCATCATAAACGCCATTCCCTAGGGGCTATATATAAGACTGTGTTGTTTCTCACAAACACTTGGCCCTACTCTTATCTTGAAAGCCCTAAGTGTTCGGCAGAAAATTTATCTTTAACATTGAGAAATTTATCTTTATTGGTGGTAGAAAAACAGCA